CCACCGAAACTGCATAAACCACGGTTTGATAGGATTAGAACAGACTCGTCTGTCGCGCCGAGTTATAGTTTGTTGGAATTCGCTTCCAAATCATGTGGTTAGGGAACCTACGGTTAGTGGTTTTGCGCGCCAGCTCGATGCTCTTGGGTGGCAACACCAAACTTTTCCTTTTTCCTAATTGACTCACCTTCACTTTTCAGTTCTTTTTTAATGACAAATATCTTGGTGTTCTACTTGCTTAGCTCTTTTCACTTTCTCTTCTTGCCTTCTGAGTTTACTTTTTTCTCTTTCTTCACGTAACCGGCCCAGCAGGGACAGCTAGGGCAGGATACGTGGGCATTAATTGGTTGGACAGGGTGTGATGCGGTCTTTCTTTAGGGTCCATCAATATTAAAAACTCTGTTAGCTCCTGGTTCAACGACCCGCTGAAGACGGAACACTCACGTTATAATCCTATCGTTCCAGTACCATTTGAACTTGAACTGTACAAGAAGCCTGCATGGACACGGTCAATGTACGCCTTGCCCTTCAGCTTGGGACTTACATCGCGACGACTCCTTAGGTGTCACAGTCTGATGAAAGCAAGGCGGTCCTTTGCGATCCGTTGTGAGACCTCACCTCCAAAACCGCCGCCAGCTGTAATGAAGCTTCCTGGATAAGTGAAGCAGGAAATCTGTTCCAGGACGTCACCGGTAATGTTGAGGGCAGGCACAGTCATCCGCCAATCCTGGAGTAGTATTTTGCACTTGCCTAGGGTAAAATACAGGCCATATTTAGACGCCTCTATCGCTAGGCGATTCAAAGGGCTCTGGAGGGCTTGTGGATCGTCCCCAGACAAAGCGATATCATCGTTGTCCAAACCCACGACTTTGTCACCTTGGAGAAGCTCAATACTGCAGTTTTTGGACGCCTTCCAATGCTCGTTGGACGACCTCAGTGGCAGAATCTAAGAAGAAAGGTGAAATAGGATAACCTTGGCGAATACCGCTAGTTACAGCAAACGGCGAGGAAAGCCTGCTGTAATCCCTAACTTTGCCCGACGTGTGATTGTAAAATTCCTTCAGGATGGTTGCAAACTTGTCGGGCGCAACTTTCCTTAGTAGACAGTTCCACAGCGCAGAGGTATCTACTGAGTCAAATACCGCCGATGTCCAAGAACACTACGATTCTTGGCCGTTGGTAGACGTGACAGAGTCCGGGAAGTTGACAGAGTGGGAAGATTTAATCGACGCAACTGCCTGACGAAAACCAGTTTGTGGAACGCCCTCTCTAATCACCGAAAGCCTGCGGAGTAGAACCAACACGAAAATCTTGGACGCAACAGCGATCGACGAAATTCCGCGTTAATTGATGCAATCTTAGCGGGAGCCTTCCTTTTGGATCGGTACAATAACCGATTCTTCCCATGCAATTAGGACTTTCTCCTCATTCCGAACCTTCGTGAACAGTGACAGGATTTCGCTGACAAGTGTACTCCCGCCATCTTTGAATATAGCCGGGGTAGGTTGTCAGGGCCGGGAGCTTTATGACGTTTCATAGATTGGATTGCGTTTCGTATCTTTGCTTCCGTAGAACTATCTGGGGAAAGGCCAAGCACCATCCGAGGGAAACGGAGATCTCACAGTGGGTTGTGTTGGCTTGTTAAATTGAAAAACAAACTGCTTTGTCCAGCTTTGTGAGAAAGGATGCCCGCTGTCCCCCTTTCCTCTTCAACTTCGCTATTGATGAAGTCATGGAAATCGCGTTTACAGGACACGACTTAGAAGGTGGGGATCTGCTCCCAGGAGAATATGCTGATGATATGGCCCTCATTGTGACAGCTCACAAACGTGCCAAACGACACTGGACAGATTAGCACTGGCTGTCTGTCACTTCAGGCTTTGCTTCGCACCCTCGAAGTGCAAAGCGTTTCTCCAAGATTGGCCTGGACCGCCTCCTACGCTGACGGTTGGTGAGGATCAGCTAGAAGTTGTTCAAAAATTCAACTACCTGGGAAGTTGTATCAGCGCCCGTGGGATTGAAGATGAGATCACGACCTGTATGGCGAAAGCTCGAGGCGCTTTTGCTAACCTTCGCCAATTATGGTGCCGGCGCGACATCACTCTTGCCCTGAAGGGTAGAGTGTACAATGCGGCGATAGGTTCGACCCTAATGTACGGTTGTGAAACTTGGCTCATTAGATCAACAGACATAAAGAGGCTAGTTACGTTCGATTACTGGTGCCTTCGCAATTTAGCTCACATCTGGTGGGAACGCCGAGTAAGCAACAGGCGTGTTCGACACCTTGTTTACGGCACAGGCAAAGCAAATGAGCGACTCAGCACTGCTATTTCACGCACCTGGTTCCGATGGCTCAGCCACGTCTTACGCATGCCAGTCCGCCGGCTCCCGCGACGTGGATTGTTTGCGCGCCCTGGGGGGGGGTGGATGGAAGAAGAGGAGGGGTGGCCAAGCGATGAGTTGGTCGAGAGGAATTAAGACTCTCACTTCGAAACTGGCCTCGGTTGGAGCGTCTCGACTCCCTGATTGGGGTCCGAAAGACGATGAAAACGTTTGCTTGGACACACTTGCTGTGATATGGCTAGGAGCCGACCTCAGTGGCGTTCGTGCTGTGAGTTTCTTTGTCCCAGCCCATCCCTCTTATCCTCCCCCTCCAACTACGATCTCATTATTTAACTTTATATAATTTCGCATAGTATTTTTTTGATGCACAGTAGCCGACTGGTAGCTTACCGGAACGATGCCCATCCGTTACCGGTAACTCAGCTGACTTGCACTTGTTGCATATTTTTCTCCTTTTTTCTTTGCATTGCGGCACAGTAGCTGAGGTGTTTCCCATCTCTAGCTGACGTGTATAATGAATGAATGACTGTCCATCGGCCCAGGCGTTTGTGTAAGTTGGTGATTTCATTGTCGTCTGACTCACATATTGTCTGACTGATAGCATGTGAATCGCGACCAGTGGTCCTAGTGTGGTAAAATATACTGCAGAATTTTCCAGCCGATATAGTGGCTTCCATCTCTGCAGCTCATTTTGCCCACCACGATTCACAGTCACTGCGAAGGATTGACTACAGCTTATGAGAGATGGACCGACGGAGTTCATTGTGCTTTGCACCGGCCGGCACGGCCCGTCACTGATCTGGCAGTTCCGATGATTTTGCCCAAATCCAACTTTTGGCAGCGGGTGAGGCTGCAGCTAGACATGCCGGCGGACAGCATAGCTTGTTGCTGACTTGACTAGTGTTCACATCCACAGAAGGGGAGCAATTGAGAATTTCACGAAGCCTCTGTTGATACTGCGTTTTAACTGTTGGGTCCTCCAGCATGTGGGTTTTCAGTCGGGTTTGCTTAGCCCTAGGTGAGCCACCGAAACGCATACAAACCGTCGCACACACCAATGGATCACCATTCTCAACAGAGGTTAACCAAAATGATATGCAATCGAGTACGCTTCCGCGCCGCCAGCGACTTATGGCTATTTGCTCAGTTTGTGACCAGCGCTTGATCGACGATGGAACGACTGGTGGCATAGTGGCTTCCAGCGTGACGAAAGTTCGTACTGGAGAGGAAAGTTGGTGGTCAACACAGAGACTGTGCAGTCTCCTGCTGCTGTCAGAGCGGATATCATCATACCCATGCGGTCCACCGAGATGGCGTTCCCATGGTAACAGCTTAGCCATACGTGCGTTTAAATCTTCTACCATAATGCTGATGTCTGTTTTAGGTGCCCTTGGAAACAGCTCATGTAGATGTTGCTAGAACTGGTCTTTGAAAGTATCCGAGGTGCAGTCAGTGGGCGCGTAGGTGATCTCAAAAAAGCACACTTGTCTACTCTATGTTTTCAGACTTTGCAAGAACCATGCAGCCTCATAGTACAAAGGCGACTATTGATGGGAATCCATTTAAGGAGGGAGGCCTCAGCTCTTGCACGGAGGGCGATCCCAACATCGGCTTGCCCAGATGCGGCAGACTCAACGTTGCCCAAAAGGCGAAGTTAGAAGCATATGTGTGGTTGGACTGGTGACGATAGCTGGTAAACTGTGTTGGCATCCTACAGTCGTTCTCCCCTCAGGTGGCAGACATCGATTGCAAGGGCCTCCAGCTTGCGTGCAAGTCCAGCCTTTTGCCCGATCTACCATAATGTGCTCGTTAAAGATTGCCGGTTTTGAACAACATTCCAGGTTGCAGTAAGGACGATGGTAGATTTTGAGGTTGGCAGTTCCTTGCCGAGAACTGTGTGGTTGAGGTTATGGATAGCGAGAGAGCAACTTCATCGGCGGATGTAGCTTAGTTCACCGTTGAAGAATCAAGTAACAATAGGGATGAATGATACAAGCGAAGGGTAGGTAGATTGGTGGCGTGTTTGTAAACTTAGCGTAGTAACGCGGCAGTGGATCATCATGAGAGCGCAAGAGACTGAACGTAGTTGTGGGATTCCGTGGTTCGTCAGTAAGTGAGGTACTACCCGGTTGCCTACGCCGGAGTAGGTGGGTTGTTTTAGGGGCCCACGGCCCCCAGCCATTGACCAAAAGGCCTAACCTACAAGGCAGCAGGATGAGATTAAGGTTTCACGTCCGTTGGTGTGACGGTGACTGAACGTTCAGTACATATGTTTTACAGATGGCGAAGTCATACCAAGAGCCCAACACTCCCAAAGTCAAGGGCAGAATCCGATGCTCGAATTGCTTGCCGGTATATAGTGTCTCCGAGGAAGACAAGAGCAGTGACTTTATTTAGTGGCGTGTCACATTAACCACATCGCTGTGTTGTGAAACGGCCTTTTGTGCTTTTTAGGGAGAACGCTTGCCAGGCATAAACCCACCATATCCTGAAACACTGCCACCGAACCATTCGTTAGAACAGGAAGTGCCTGAGCCACCCAGCTGGCACCACGAGGTTGTCCGGCAAGCCAGTCTGTCTAATGGTGGCTTTCGATTTTTCTTTCGTTGATAACAGTTTATTAGCAAGTACTTATTGTGTGCATTTGAATTTGTTTCAGCCTCCAAATACTGACGATTACCCAAAACATGAAGTAGCTCAAATACAGTTACATGCTCACTCGCTATAGGGTTAATATAGATGGAATTCTAGTCTATTTTCCCTACGAATATATTTATCCGGAACAGTATCACTATATGCTAGAGCTCAAGCACACTCTGGACGCAAAGGTAATCAAAGATAACGACTCATTTTGACAGTCAGGGTCATGGCGTCTTAGAAATGCCATCGGGTACTGGTAAAACGGTCTCACTGCTGTCACTAATAGTTGCGTACATGAAAGCTAGACCTGGGGCCATCGAAAAGTTTATCTATTGTTCTAGGACTGTGCCTGAAATCGAGAAAGTAAGCTTTTTAACGTCACTTAATTTTTTCCAGGTGTTGGAGGAGCTGAAGGTTCTTTGCAAGTACTACGAGAGTGAAACCAATGAAGAAGGATTCGGTTTACTCGGAATTGTTTTGAGTTCACGTAAAAATCTTTGCATTGAACGGGATGTACGGCGTGCAGGAGATGGTGCGGCAGTCGACGCTGCTTGCTTTCGTCGGACGGCCAGCTTCGTACGCAAGCGGCATGCCACCGACCCATCTGTTCCTTTTTGTAAATATTTTGAAGTGTGTCATCTCCTTTGGATAATGTTATCCGTTTTAGCAATTTGACTTAGATGGTCGCGAGAAACCGCTTCCCGTTGAGATCTATAACTTGGTATGCTTTCACTATCTCTGTTATCGCTTTCACAAGGCTGATTTAAAAGCGTACGGTCGCAAGCACGGTTATTGTCCCTATTTTCTCGCACGGTATTCGGTATCATCCCCTCTATTCACTCACGTTTTGATAGCTTTTACATGCAAACATAATTGTGTACAGCTATTTCTACTTACTGGATCCGAAGATCGCCAATCTTGTGTCCCGAGATTTGCCGAAAAATTCTGTGATTGTCTTCGACGAAGCTCATAACATAGGTGAGCTACTCCGGACTTTCCGTTTTGTGATGCACACTTTTTGTTTATGGGCGCAACTTTGTGACTTTGTTCAGATTACCAAGTTACGGAGCTTTGTGATTCCGTTATACTGAATACTGACTTCTCAAACGGTTCCAAGTATGCTCGGTGGCGCTTTTTGCACTTTCAGAGCTACTCACACCACGTTGCTCAATGCTTAGAGGACTGACAAACTCAGTTTCCTGGTCCTTTATTTTTATTTCGTACTGAATACCAAGGACAAGCAGAATGATAATAAGCTGCACCATTATAAAAGGATAGACTTAATAAACGTCTACCTCATTACATTGAAGGACTGGCGCTCATAGATTACGGTGGGGGGGCTAGCGGAGCGCCTACACCGAGGACCCCACGCTACGTATTTCCACAAGTTTATCTGCGATTCTTTTTTAGTTTTCGAACAACCACCGAATGCTGTCTCTTGAAACACATGTTGAGGCGTGCATCCACCTGCTGTGAAAACGAAGTAGATCAAGAAGTGTAGGTGGCGCACGTTTGTCAGTCTTTTCACTTGTAAGATACAAGTTGTGTTTCCCAATACCAGCTGACAAAGCCACGAAACTATCTCGCTAGATGATCAGTGACAATAATTATTTAACTCCAGCTTTGCTGTATCCGTTGCCATATTCGCACTATCGTAGCAACAATAATTAACATTGTTGGGCGAGATAAGTCACAATGAATAGTAGCAAAAGTGAAAAGGACTGGGAACAAAAGTAAATGAGCTTATTAGGGCTAGATGGCGTAAGCGCACCATTGACTTCTTTATTGCGGTAAATCACACGAGGCTTCCAGCGGCTAATTCGACTGCTCCGTAGGCCTTCGTCCCGTGAAACTGCACATATCCTGACCAAGCTACATTCAACTTACCATATTTCTTTTCTACCTCATCGGTTGGCCACTTCATTGTCTCGACTAGACAGAGCGACGACAAGCGATGCGCATTTGAACTGGCAGTTGACAGTTGGAGTTTAAAGTTTACCTATTTACCGCCGGGAGGTTGCTTCCCAAACATTTGGTGAATTTACTTACCACCGATACGGTTTTTCAGTTTGATTTGTGCAAACACCAGTGGTCCGGCGACCCACATAGTGTGGGCTGTAATTACATCTGTTTGAAGATGCTCATCTATTTCACTAGCAACAACCCGACATTGCGTCCGCCAGAAGGCTACATGGCGCCCATCAGCCTTAGACGAGCTGTGGACGCAAATTGATTACATTGCAGTCAGTTCAGTTGTTCAGTTGATCAACTATGATCCGAGCACCGAAGTACAATAGATCCAGTTGCCACGACTCACATCGCCAGAATAACAATAAATAACAAGTCAGGTACTTAAGTTGGATGCGAATCAAATCTGGAGCAAATGAAAGCAAGGAGAACATGCGTTGGATTAGTCATAATGAAACGCAAATTAGCAACCAGATGAAAGAAGTCGAATGCAGGAACGCCACTGACTTCGTGACTGCGCCATGTCTGTCACGGTCTCCAACCATTGGTAGGGATCGTCACGAAGTCCCCATGCAGGAAGGCAGTATGCACCAGCCTGACCAAGTCTCAGTCAATTTATTCAACCTTATACGTCACGTCATGGGTTCGCCGCCTCGCGGTTTTGCTCAACATGGTGCGGCCATGACGTATAATGCACTCCGAGAAAGTCGACAAACGGGCATAAGTCGTCGAAGAATCAGCTGCCACTGGAGACCCTGCTTCCAAAACTACCGTTTGATTTAGAGCCCACGCGTTGATTCCGATACACTTTCTTGTGCTGATCTGCGAATGCCTTACGGCGGACGTCCACGACAACTCTCTGAGCGTATAGCTAGGTGAAGCCAGATGTTCTGAATACGTATCAGAGAGCGCTAGCATTCGACTTGACTAAACGCTACGTCCTGCACTTTGAAGGCGCGATGCACATGCCGCAGAGCGTAGCACTAAGCGTTGGTCTTTTCAGTAGTGTTTGCATAGTCACTGCATCAGACCCAACGAGCTGTCGTTCACATACTCCAGGTTTCTCAGCCGGTCACCTGGGAGAACTCTGAAAGAGTCCGAAGCAAATGTCTTTCATGATCATTTCGATCAAAAAGTTGGCAGTGCAATTAGCCATAAGATAATCCTGTCACACTTCACTCATCGTTAAGAACTCATGTGACAGCTCTGCGTAGACATTTACTCTGCCTCGGGTTTCACAGTAGACAGACTGTATGATGGAAAAGCATTTAGATGGCGCACTTTTCAAGGCTAGGTAGTGCCATACGCTGACGCGGTCAACAGAATCGAAAGCAGCTTCCAAGTCTAAGAAAGGCACCATAGTCAGTCATCTGTATGTATGCCTCTGCTCCGAAACTTAGCAGCTAAAAATATGCTTATGCAGCCACGACCAGGGCGAAAGCCAGCCTGGCTTTCAATGATTCGTTTCGCACACTGACTAGTAACTTTCAGAGAATGATACCCGTGCGAATTTTAGTGGCAGTGGAAACAAGGCTAATGCCTCGATTTTCGCACAAAATACACCGATCTTACTTCAAGATGGGCATGGCAGTTGACAGTCGCCAGTCTGTAGATACCTCCACAGGGTTCCAAATCTTGCTAAATAAGTAAGTCCAGTCGGTATGGAGTCACTGCCATCTTCCAGCAAAGATGGAGGAAGGCCGTCAAATGCAAACCGATCAACAGGTAAGCCACTAACCCGGACTATCGGTGTTTCATATTATTTCGAAGTCCGTCAAGTCCAGGAGCTTTATTCCTTTCAATACGGAAAGGTCATGTCGAATGTCTTCGAAAGTGCTGTTGTGACATATACTTCCCTCGTCGGTCCAGACAATTCGGCAAGCGACATTGTCGCAAGGGGCCCGCTGAACTGCTCTTCAAAGTGCTCTGCCCAACAGCCTAGTTGATGAGGTTGGTGATCGATCAACTCTCCATCTTTCTCAACTATTGTCCCGCTAACTGATAGTTTTCTCGGATTCGTATTCCGGATGAGCTGGAATAGCACTCGGCTGTTCGCAATAACCTGGCTTTATCCATCTCACAGACGGTTGCCACTCACTAACGTTCTTGGCCGTTTCGAAAACTGCTTGTTAGACCTCGGTTCAGGGAGTTACGGATACGCTGTAACTCGGCGCCCGTGCTTTGATCAAACTGCTCGATGCTCCGGAGATCCACTCACAGTTCGGACTACTCAAGTTGGGTGCATAGCGAGCGTCAAAGGCATTCTTCATGGCACACTTGAGACGATCACAGTCAGCGTTCTGTTCACCAACCTCATTCATCACTGACAATTGGTGGGGCAGTTCGTCGTGGTATTATTAAACTGCAGATTGCGAATTCAAGGTTAGAAGCTAGGCACTACTTTGAAGCAGAGAGGGCGAGCACCAGGCGTTCGCGCACTAGAGCATGGTCGGAATCCAGGCACATACTCCAAATTGGCCAACGGCCTTGCTTTGATGTATGCCATCTGTTGCTGATGGCAATATGGTCAATTTTGCTCCAGGTCACGGAGGGATAGGTGGTCGCCTGGTGACGCGATGTGAACGTTTGTAATGGAAAGCAGTGCTGTTGGTACTTTGAATCCTCCCTAAATTAACCACTCAAAGGACTGGACCAAGGTGGTCAACATACATGCGCCTGCTTACATAAAGTGAACGTTTAAGCAGTGCCACAGAAACCGGTCAACTCCGGAGAATTTACTGTTTCAAGGTTGTGGTCTGCGCATAGTTGCAGGAATCGATCCTCGTTGTCTGTTCGGCCTGCGTCGACCCAGAAGCGGCCTCCTAGGTGTTGTTCTGAGTCTGAAAAGTTACCCACTTGTGCATCCATGACATCAGCAACATTCATGATGTATTTTTCGCCATGCGAAGAAGAGCTGTCGATAGAAATCATCTATGATACCCTGCAAACTGGAGTTACTAGTAACACAAAAGTAGACGTTGACAACACACCTTGTCTTCAGACCGTACATATTAACCCCAGTAGAAGTTCGAATTCAAACCGCACACATGCGGCTACTCACTGGTATCCAGACGAGTAGATTACCTTCAACATGTCTGCCGTGGGCGATACCAACACCATCTTTGATACGCGTCCTTAAGATTAATGATTAAGGAGCCATCCTGTTCGAGGTTGTTTCTCTTACTCCAGATCGAATGAGGTGGATAAAATTTTCTAGCATCACCAGAGAGACTAGCAAGATCCATCACTTTAGCACCTTCACACCAGGCCTCACGGTTCTTTCCAAAACTCCTGCGCAATTCTCGATCCAGGGATCGGCGTTCGCTACAACTGGCGTCGGTTGAGACCGAACGGCGTCTGTTCACCAGTGACAAGGAGACAGCAGTGATCCAGCTTTTCGGCGGGTGACGGGCAACTCTACATATGTCAATATTAGTAGAACTTAAGGCGTCTTTGATGCGCACCCATTATAATTTTAGGAGATTAGCCATACAGTGTTGACAGAGAGACCTCATACTTATCTAGCGTTGTGGGATTTTGTAGATTTTTGACGTAAAGTCGGTCGCTTGTTCTGGAACTCACCGCTTTGTTCTCAGAAGTTTTGGCCAAAGGGGAAGTTCCATCGTCTTTTGGTGAGTCTGTAATCGTCCACATCATCAAAAGGGCCTGCACAAAATGTGCAACAACTACATGCATATAAGTTTGGCACTCGCCGTTTGCAAGGTTTTGGTCTCCATCCCCAACGCGCGAATCGCTGTAGCAAGAAGAACAAGCTGGATTCCACCATGATCGCGGCTGCATCGATCCAATTTTCACACTTCTTCAGATCCTTGAGCTCCGCCATGTATCCAAAACTAATGATTGTTGTGTTCTTGGATATCCGTGCTGTCCCGATTCTGTCGATAAGGCTGCATTGTGGCACCGTCTGTTGCGGAATGGCGTCCTCCAGAATTGTCTTCGTGAAGCATGCACTGTATAGACTAAACTCGGATAGAGTTAGGGCTTATTTC